TTTTGACTTTATACAACCTGTTTTTCAAATCCGAATTATATAAATTCGGATTAATCCCGTAGTGTAGACATACCCTCAGGCATGAGGGGAGGGAAACCAGAGTGCAGAATAAACTAAGACAGAAACAAATGGAAGGGAGGGAAGCAGAAGGAGATGGGAACAAAGTGAAAACTCTTATTACTACCCTTCACTCCTGAAGTCAGTTACTGCTTTAAGAATATAAGGAGAGTTTGAAAACTATAATAGCACATTCAGACAAACTGCTATGAAGCTAACTTACCATCCTCCTGGTCACCTTTTCTAGTTGTTTCTTTTGCGAGGCCAGGCGAAATATTCTTATCAGAATGATAATTCTCAAAGCTCGAAGGACGATAACCATTCTAGCAAAGAGAGGAAGATGTTAGCTTTTCAATGGAATAGAGCTGGACAGAAGATGTAAATTATGTTTTGCCAGAAAGACTGAAATTTTGTTTTGTTCCAAACGAGGATAAAAGCCAACACTACTTTTTTTTTGAAAAAACAATTTTAAAACAATTGTTTTGGTTCAACACATTTTGATTTGATAACTTCAAGGTATTTTATTTTGATTTCAACCTTCCATTTAGTTTTTTTTTTTAATTCTAACAAAAAAAGTTGGAATTTTCTATTCCAGGAAGTGTCACAGGATATTTAAATAGTCAAAATGCTTTTCTGTGCCCGTCCAGTGAAATTGTGTCAAACTACAAAACGTTGCAAAATCATGTTGTTACAAAACTGCATTTTTCTGATGGCAAACTATTTAAATGCAAGTTTTCTGACTGGCCTCACAATGAAGCCAGACAGGAATTCACCTACGGAGATAGTTTTCATTGCTTCACTGCTGTGCATAGAGATGATGCCAGCAAGTATAGTCTCACCCTACCTATCCCTGTAGCAATAGTAAGATTGCCACAATATTAGGCAAGCCATAACACTCCAGATCTTCCTGTTTCCCAGTTTATATCCATGGTATACAAGGTCACTGTACTCATTTGGGTATGTTAATGGCTCTTGGTATTGAGAAGACATCAAGATCAAGTGTGCACCTTTGGCTCCTTACTCCATGGATGTGTAGCATTTTATGCAAGAAGTTCAGGAAAATGGAGCAGTTCTAGAATCCCAAATGTAATCACTCATCCATTTGAGGGAAAGAGGATAATGGATATTCTCAGAAGGAAGTTTTGAAGTAGTAAGACAATTTTCTCCTGATGCAAGTGGTTTTAGGAAAGCATGTTACTGTTTAGAAGGCTTCCCTTAAGGTAGGCCTACTCTGCAATCATGACAGCCCATGTAGCTATACCCAAAGCTAGCCTTCATTGAGCTAGCTTGCTAAAAACAGCAACTTAGCCACAGTAAATAGGCTAGCTGCCCAGTTATGTACCTGGGGTCCCAGGCAGGATTGTAGTCAGGCCCTTAGCCCAGGCCACTGCCTGTACTACACTGCCATTTTTAGTGAGTTCAGTCAAGGCTAACTCAGGTGTGCCGACACACTGCAATCACACTTCCCAATTGCTGTATAGACATACTCTAAATGCCATCCCAGGAAATGCCCTGTCCTACATGTGATGAGATTACCTAGAGTACAATCAAAGTACACAGTTGTGTGAAGGACATGAGACTGCTCTATTAATTTATGATTGTCCAATTACAGTAAGGGGTGTGTGCTATTTGACTATATGGAGTAGTGTCAAAAGGTGCTGGGAGCCTAAAAATCAGGACAGCACAAGACCTTGTCTATAGGAAAAAAGTTTTGCGGGGATAGTTATGTCAGCAAACCCTCTAGTGTAGAGGCAGTTGATATCAGCATAGAACAGCTTTTGCTGGAATAGCTTAAGGTCTTCTACGCCAACATAAGCTACATCTACACTAGGGCTTATAGTGGCATAGTTATGTCCATTTAAAAAACCTATACTCTTAACTGACAGCTATGTCAGAGAGACAAGGTAGGTGAGGTAATATCTTTTATTGGACCATCTTCTGTTTGTGAGCTCTGTGGCTCAAAAGCTTCTCTCACCACTAGAAGGTGGTCAAATAAAAGATATTACCTCACCCACTTTGTCTTGCTCAGATCCTGGGACCAATATAGCTATAGCTAACTGACATAACTATATGTAGTGTAAGTTTTAAGTATAGACCAGCACTAAACAGGTAAAGAGTCTTTCTGGAAGTGGGAGGGTTAGTTAAGGGCTGCTGGGAGAAACAGGTTGACAGAAAGGTTCTGCAAAGAGCCCGAAGATCATAGAGTATCAAGGTTGGAAGGGACCTCAGGAGATCTAGTCCAACTTCCTGCTCAAAGCAGGACCTATCCCCAATTAAATCATCCAACAGATTTTTGCCCCATATCCCTAAATGGCCCCCTCAAGGATTGAACTCTCAATCCTGGGTTTAGCAGGCCAATGCTCAAACCACTGAGCTATCCCTCCCCTCAAGATGGGCCTACCTGGCTAACATGGGGGATTTTTGGGGGGGGAGGGGAGAAGAGAGAGAGGAGAAATAGGAAGCTCTAGGGAGACAGCTACAGATGGTTTTATTGTTTTAAAATCCTTATTCTTACACTATGCGGTGTTCCTACTGTTAAAACAATACCTTGTTTTAGAAAAGGCTGCATGGTCACTCTGTATATACCACTGGTCACAGCTCCCGAAGGTCAGAACTGCAGATAATGAACCTATGTTGGGCCTGCTGAAGTAATCACTGTTAGTACATAGGGGTCTATAACCCAAGGTCCAGGTCTTAGGTTGTCTATAGCACGGAGCCCATGTTGGTGCAGCTATACTAGTATAGCCCCCAGTGGAAAGGGAAAGAACTTTACATAGGCTCTGTAGTGTGTAGACATGGGCTATGCCAGCATAGCCCACTAGTGTAGATGCAGCATACACCAATGGTTTTTCTGCCACTGCAGGAACATCTCCCCAAACAATGACATTAGCTATGCCAACAGAAGTATTTGGTCAGCAGAGCTGCATCTACACTGGTTTTTTTCGCTGGAATAGCTACATTGGTGGGGTTGGTTTTTTCCCCTGACTAATGTAGCTATGCTTGTATGTTTTAAGTCTAGAGCAAGCCCAAGAGTGGGAGAACTGCAGGATTCACCTTGAGAGGTGAAGGCCCAAGCTTGTCACTTGTGAGGTTGCTCTCAGAGACACCCCCATATAGAGGGGAAACACTGCAGCTAGATCTGTAACCATGAGGACTTGTTTGGAGACCATAGGTTGAGATTTTCATAGCCATCCAAGGGATTTGGACACCATTTCTAAAAAATTAACAGGAAGTAGGCATTCAATTTCCTTAAAGGAAATTTAAGATGGAGTTAGAAGGTAAACAGTTTACATATCCTGTGAAAGTTTTTGAAATTTCAGAATTTTTCTTGTTCAACCACATTGGGACACGGCAGAGTGCTTTTGAAATTTTTGCAGAGAGACCCCTTTATAGCCATTATAGTCAACAGCCCAATGGTTAGGGCACTCATCTGAGACACGTGGGACCCATGTTCAAGTCCCTGTGCTGCCTGAGGTGAACAAGACTTGAATCTGCATTTCCCATATCAGAGGCAAATCCCCTAACTACCAAGTCAATTTCTCTGGCCCAATGAGTATTTACTGTATACAAAGTAGAACAGCTCTAGCAGGAGTGTGAGAATCATTTTCTTCCCCTTTCCCACTGAACCCAAGAAACCTTCCCAACAAACATTTCATTGAAATGACCCTTTCCCACAAATCTGATTTCCACAAATTGTTAGTTTGACAACTTTTCAACAAAAATCCCCTGCCAGCTGTAGCTGGAAGTGCTGTTTTTTGATGCTGAAGTTTTCAAATCTGCCAAGAATATCACATCACACATATTATTCTAATGACACTTTAAAAACTAAAGTCAAAAGCAGCAAGAGTTAATCCTTCCTCCAATCAGTTGTAATTGTAAGTAAGGTTTCCAGTTTAACAACACTAGTTCTGATTTCTGCAGTTTACTTTTAAGACAAATTTTGCTGAGTAAGGCTATGTCTACACTTCTAGTGCCTGTACTTGACACACTGCTGTATGTGTAGCCACATGCCATGGTGAAAGGCTCCAGCATCAGTGAAAGGCTCCACTGCCTCATCACCACCAGAGCCTTTAAAAAAAAAATTGCAGTGTAGACCTGGAAGGTACTGCTTGGTTATGTAGAGTATATATCCTGAGGGTCCAGGTATTTAGGGCACTCTACTCACCTAAGCTGTGCCTCAGTCTACACTGCTATACACACACGCTAGCTGGGCATGCAGTGTATGTACTCCACATGCCACTGTAAGTGTAGTGTAAAAAATGATTTCTCTGGCATTATGCAACACCTGTGATCTCCAAAGCACTCTGACTCCCAGCAAAGAAAGCTTTACAGGGTCCACAGCAAATTTTTCAACACTGCAAAAAAGCCAGGGAAGAAATCAGATAATTTGGGTATAACATTTTATAAACAAAAACATTCAGGTGTTCAGGGTTCTTCCCCTATACTCCCTTCAAAAAGCAGAAGCGCTAGACACTAGCAAGTTTTAGAAGGATTTATAGAGAAGTGTAAATATTTCGTTTCTAAGCCATTAAATCACACACTTACCTTGGGATCTTGTCCGCACCACTGAAGTCAGAGAAAGAATACACCATATTAATTAACAGGGTGCCCACGACAATCACCGCATCTAAAATGTTCAGTTTGGACTTGAAATAATTGCTGAAGCTGAAATACAAAAGAAGGGAAGCAGAGACAAAATTGGGGGGGAGGGGAAGATATCTAAAAGTACTATGAGGAGTGTATATTCCATATTGCTACAAAGCATTGCTCATGGATGAATTGGTCCTCAATAGCCTGTTTGTTACTCCATTAGGAGTAAAACAGATTTTTATCAATCCTTTACAAACCTGACTCCACTTAACACCAAGTCACAGACCAGTTTAAAAGGAAGATTGAAAAGAATTCCCTCCTCCCCTCTTTGTTCAAATCCCAACTTAAACACTCTTCCTATGAAGCCTACCAAAACTAGCCAGCCCACATACCATGCTGCAGCAGTATACCCAGTGGTACAATTGCAATGCTTTAAATCTCTTCTGGACAGCCAGGGCAGTTTGTATTTGTATTTCTGTCCATTTAGGACTATCTTCTGTTATCCTCATGCAGAGTAGCACCAGAGTAATGCCTTTAGAATTAATGGGCCTATTTAAGAACTCTGGTACTACAGCATTTTGCTCTCTACACAGACTGAATTTATTATTTTACTGCAGTAGCACCTAGAAGCCCTAGTCATTGGGTTATGCTCCATTGTGCTACTAACTGTTCAAACAGTCCCAGCCCCAGAGAGCTTAAAGTCATGCTAAGAGTATTCATGAACAGTGCTTCCCAGTTACCGGTACAAACCAATTAAGAGTGCTAGTCATTGCACATAATGAATGAATTGCCAGTGTTAGGGACCAGCACTGGGAACCTCACAGGACTGATTCTGGTCTCACACCGGTGAGTCTGGAGTAACAATCAGTACAGTTACTCCTGTGTAAGTGAATTCAGAGTCAGACCTCACATATCCACTGTGCAGATTCTTTAGAAGTCAGTGCACATTTTTAAAGTATCCCTATACAAAGAGGTCTTGCTGAACTTTCAGGCCCATGGGCATTAATCTTACCCCTCAACAAACACTCGCAGGAGAACATCCACGAGAAAGAAGAGTGCTATTGCCAAGGAAACGCCTTCCAGGGTCTCTCTTATGCTCTTTTCCTTGTCACGAATAGCTAGGTCCACAATCACAAGAGTAATGTCCACAAAGATGAGTATAACACCAAATATTCTACAACAACCAAAAAAAGGAAAAAAAAAAAAAAAACGTAAACAA